TTGTGTAACCCCTATTTTTCGAGCACAGAACATCACAGTTTGTTTAGGTATGACCATAAGAAGCGGCTAAAACGTAATGATATGTAATTGCATAAAAATAGTGTATTTGTATAACCCCCCCCCCTCCCCCCAGTGGCACAGCGGAATGTCTGCGGACTTACAACGCTAGAATCCGGGTTTCGATACAAACAAATTATATAACACATTTTATTGTTTCAGATTTGTTAATCATATCATTTAAAAAAAGGCCACTGTTCGTCCATATAACAATAAACACAAGATTTTTAGGTTTCTAACCCTGCTGTCAAGGCAACCATAAACTCATGCCAATGAAAATCTCCAAAAATGGTTACAAGAAGAGGCGTATTGATGTCAATTGGCACTCTAGGCCAGCAATTTTAGATGTGCACCTTCCTTCTCGAATGACTTACCAGGAAATGTATCCATCAATATGAGGACAGCAATAAATTACAATGGATGTAAATTTGTTTTTAATATATATATATTTTTTCATTTCAAAATTAAATTCATTTTTAGATTTTAAAAAAATTCCCTAAAATGCGCACGTCAAAATTACCGCGCGCTAGGCCCAAGCCTTGAAAGCCTATTGGTTAATATGACCCCAGTTATAAGCACTGTCTGCATTGTCCATAGTAAAGATCGAAGGTTTCTTGAAAGTGTTCCTCCTTCGTACCGCCTTGGTTTTATCCATTAAGGAATACATGTAATTAACACGTATTTTGTCCTGCACTTAGGATCAATAATTACAGGACGTCACTCACCTCAGTAACACTTTTAAATTTTTGCAAGTCTTCGTTTGTATTCAAAAATCTCCTTCATGGCTCACATGACGATATTATATACGCTGACGTGTAGCAGATTGTGAGTAATCCATTTTTTCCTCGTAATTTTTTAATATTTGTGACATGTGCGTAAAAGTCGTGTTAATGCGAATTCCTATAGATTACAGGGTCTTGACTCAACTTAATTTCAATTTTATGTACTAATTAATAATTAATATAAATAATTTGAAGCTTTAACAGTCTATTTTGTTAGTGGTCACTTGTTTCATGTTGCGTAAATATTCTCAACAAAAGCTTATAACATATGCTGTGATTTTTTGGCTTGTTAGAATACTGAAAATTGAATTGTGGCTTTCGCCAATCGATTTTAAACAATTGTACCAATGTAATACAAATATATCATTATATTAAATTTGGGGGTAACTGATCTAAACAATTCAAGATATGAAAATATTATTAAAATATACACATATTTTTGTCTAATTAGGAACGCATAGTGATATGTTATTATATGCTACAACATAGGCCCGGCATGGCCAGTTAGGGCGCTCGACTTGCAATCTGAGAGTTAAGGGTTCGAATCCCCGTCACACCAAACATGCTCGCCCTTTCAGCCGTGGGGGCGTTATAATGTGACGGTCAATCCCACT